TCGGTCTTCTCGGTAGAATCTAAGTTTCGCAGATGTTGATTTATGCATTTAATAATGTTCTTTGAACGGTAAATTTGATTTTCAATCGACCAACACGTTGTTTTTAAAAATTAAAAATGACGATTTTACGGGTAACCTAGATACATTAATTTCATTTATATTTTTAGCGTACCATTTTCCAGGCTTATTTATTATACATTTGAAGTATAATATTTTTTGGCATGAACAAAGAATTGCGAATTTATTGCTACTATAATTTCTCATACCCGTAATTTTTCTGACGCTTTTTTTAAATGTTACGAATTAAAAATGCTTTTCCAGATACATGTTTGAATACAGATCTGACATTTTACGTACATTTTACGGGCATGTTCAGCTTTTATCGCGAAAGGAGACTCATCGCGTACAAAATTTCCCGATTCATAATCAGTACGATATTTGGTCTTCTTCATTCCTCCGAATCGATAATAAAATAGTAGATAATACTATTAGAATAATAGATAATAATCGATCTTACTTCGCATCTGTGTAGTCACACGAGTCTTCGAATCTCAATATGTCCGCTGTGTCCACAAAGCGCGTCTTTTCTTTATAGGTTAGGGCACTATCGAGCGCTTCGGTCAACGACCGACGCAGCCGAGCGGCCGCACATCGGTCAGCTGTGTTTACATGGCGTAGAGTAGGTGGTAGGGGCAAGGCCGCGGCCGAGGCCGCAGCAGGGAAATACATATCGTAGACGAATTTCTTAGGAGAATGGTAGGGAGATGCGATTGTGTGGAATGTGGCGTTGCGGCCTATCCATATGTAAACAAGTTCGCCATTACTGCGCTCGATCCTTGGGTCAAGTCAGGGTGAGCCCGACGCGACGCGACATAATGCCGAAGCGATCGAAAGCGCGCCCGTTCGATACGCGCATCGATAATTTTACTCCCACCGATCGCAGCGATTTGAAACAAAGACCGTTGGAAAGCTTTAAACTTCCGTGCACCTGATAAGCGTGTGAGATCGTTTCTCTGAGACATAAAAATCGATGTAACCCCATCGTAAATAATTGATATTCCGAACTCTGTGATGTGAGCATCTCAAAAATAAAACTAATAAACTCTACATTTTGTAGATGTCTTGATTTTAGTATCAGAGAATGCAGTTAGTGTGTAACTTTTTAAAATAAAAATGTTTGCAAAATTTGAAAGATGATCAATTCGCAAATCAATTTTTATTGGATCTGTTTTATACATTTTTATATAAGTTTTATATACTTTTTTATTCTATTATATCATAATTATGTTTTGTCTTTTGATATTACAAAACATATACATTGTAGAAAATTTGAGAGAAAATAAATTTCGTGAGTAAAATTGAATATATTCAATAATAATCATTTTATTCGTATATCACATATTTGCCCGAATAAGGAACTTTCCATAAAATTATGTCGATACTATCGAAAGTTTATATATAAAATATGCAGTTGATAATTAGGATCCTATTCAAATATCTAATTCTTGCGATAAGTATTGAAATTTTAATACAAACATTTCTCCATATATATTTTTATAACCATTGTTAGAATTGTCAGTGGATGTTATCCGATCTCTATTATTTGTTGTAATTTACGAAGCTTGAATAATTTCTCGAAATAATTTATTAAAAATTATTTCTTAAAATGTAGCTTCTATTTAAACTAATTAAAGTTAAAGGAGCTACCACGATTGATGCAGAATTAATTGGCATTTGTTTTCGCGTGAAAAGTAATCTACTATCGATCGCTTTTGTATGAAATGAGATGAAGCGTTATCGGTAATTTCGCTGATTGATCTATTTTAATTGATTTCGCTGGTAATTAAATGCGGGATGAAAATACAATGAGGATTTGTGCGAGACAGCGTGAGAGAGTCAATGGGCGTAACTATGTAATGGAATTAACACAATCCCTTTTATTTATTCCAGCCTTAAATTTATTTATTTCCCGATGAGCAACCGGATTATAATGCGCGGCATTACAAATTTTAAGCGGGTTCGGAACGGCACGCAAAGCGGAAGCTGCGTTTCCTAGCATCCTTCGTAATCCGATACGCCAAATGCGTTTATACTCGATCAAGAGCTAGACATGCATAGCGCACGACGAGGGAGAAAGAGAGAGAGAGAGAGAGAGAGAGAGAGAGAGAGAGAGAGATATGTGTATATAATATATAGTCGCTCGATCAACATCCCGTTTACGGACGTAGCTAAAATTATTGGCGCGTGATAATCAGAAATTTGATCGATAGAAACTCAATGGGCAATCCATTTCGCGAGCGTTAATTATTTCAGTCACGAACAATATCTCGTTTTTGCATAAAGTGTGCCAGCCGACCGTAAAAACACGGCCGATATATCAGACGGAACAATACCGCTATATGTCAATATAAGAGGGAATAGGTATTCGCAATGTCAGACGCGACCAATAAATGGCGAGACTTTGTCACCCGGTGGTGTGCCAAGTTCGCGAAAAAGTTTTACGCGCGACAGGTGTTTCGTGACACGTATTTCCACGCTAGCTATTTTACATAAAATGGTTTTCTTATCTTGATGCACGGTTATTTTGCATAAGCGGCGGAAAGTTATGCAAGGATCCGGAGTGATGCGCGAAGGAATACGCCGACCGACGCGCGTTTATATATATATATATATATATATATATATATATATATTTACAAAGACGCATCGAAGCGGTGACTTCAAAGGTTTTCGCGAAATCCGTCACTTCCATCTGTTCTGAATAATTAAACTGCAGCACCGAGTAACGGCAGAAGTTGAGCAAAGAGAGGGAGAGAGAGTGAGATTTGAAAATATACTCCATTAGGCAAGTATATAGCAAATATAAACCTCATTACTTTGACTGCGCTACTCGATGCAAACGAGATGTTGGAAAGTTTATGATTGCTAATTAAAATGCGCTGCTTATCAAGAATAAATGGCATCAAACGTATTGCATATTGTATGAAGTTTATTTTGTCCGCTTTGGGAAAATTTTCCATCGGCTGCGGCAACTAATTAAAATGAAGGAAGGAAGGAAGAAAGGAAGGAAGGAACGCGCTAAGGGATAAACCGGACGGCTCTCTGAAACGACGCACATAAAAAACGTCATTTTGCCACAAAGTTATATTTCTCCACGATGTCGCGGAACGAAGGGGGAAGAAAAATACAGTGCATTATATACATCGCTGAGCGCCAAACTTCACGAATAAGTGGAGCGCGGATAAAAGCAAAGTTAGTAAGTGTATAATTAACAAGTCCGTTAAGAGAGTTCAAACTCCAGAGTATTCAGGAGTGGAAGCAGCGAGGATATAAAGACATCAGTGAGTCAAGAGAGCGTGAGACGTAAGCCCTATTACGAGAATGAATTTAAATACAAGCGTAAACCGATCAAATTTAAGCTGGTATAAATTAGCAATGATTATACCCGGTAGGAGTTTCGGCGATCTTTCTTGCGAAATGCAATTACTATCACCCCCCAAAGTTTCTATCAACAAAAAGCCATAATGTGTCTCTTAGCGGCTCCATTCGAGCGCCTGTTTAATCTTCATACCTAGCTGAGAGGGATTTAGTCTGTTATTAATACAAGTGAACGCAGAGAGAGAGAGAGAGAGAGAGAGCGAGCGAGCGAGCGAGCGAGCGAGCGCGAAAGAAAGAGAAGGAAATATTCGTGTTATTATTAATATTAGAGACCGGCAAGATTGCATCTTTCCACCATCTTTGTTTCATATCAAGTTACGCAAAAGCAAAACGATAGACTCTGCCTCCATTATGCAGATAGTAGCAGCAAACTGAGGGCTTCATTATAGAAACTCATTTATATCGAGATGACGAAAAATAATAAAGAAGTAAGGAGGCAAAGTTTGCGTATTACGTTGAAATTTAAAAGTGGCTGTCGAAACGCTCTCGAGAGATCACGCAGTTTGGAATTAATTACTTCGATGAGAGAGAGAGAGAGAGAGAGAGAGAGAGAGAGAGAGAGAGAGAGAGAGAGAGAGTGCCTGTCATCGCGGGAGCGATTTCTTGCAGACTCGGCCCCCAGGCCCCCAGGGGAGGCCACGACACGACCTTATCTACCCCGAAAGGTCCAACGTTCGATCCATTGACTCGTCGAGACCCTAATACGACGCACGGAACTGACGTTGGCGATAGGTCGCCCGTGCCCTAGAATCAGGCTCTGATCGACGTCCTGGTACCGGTATATCCGTTCGAGACAGACTATCCGTCGGACGACACGTACGCGACCGATCCCCGCTGTCGACGAGACATCGCGCGCTCGTTCTCGTCCGACGACGATTTAAATCAGCCGCAACTCGTTGTCGACGAAACGTCGCGCGCTCCTTCCGCAATCCCTGATCCGGATATCAAGCCCGTCGAGACTGTCGAATTTCCTCGATTTTCACGACTCCCACTCGGCACTCGACGTTTAAGGCGACGCGCTGGATATTTCAGGGAGAAACGACGTACAGGAGATTAACGGGCGAAAGCTTTCAAAATCGATACAATAGCGATATTATTAAGTCTCCGTCATTTCTCCCTATACATTTGACGAAGCAGACGTTGTCTCAGTGCGAACTGATATTCTTTCCCACTGCTAGACGCGCTAGACGCGGCCGTTCAATTTCCAGTTTTATTTGTTCGATATGAAGATCATGTTCAATGTCAGCGCGCGCGCCACAGAGGGATCAGACAGCCACATTTCACGGTGAACGCGCGGCGAGAATACGGGCGTACGCGACTGTAAGCCACTTTGCCACTTCTCTCTCTCTCTCTCTCTCTCTCTCTCTTTCTCTCTTTCTCCCGGTCCCTCGAGGGACACGGTAACCCGCGTGACGCGATCGATCGAAATTAAAATTCGCGTCGGACGCTTTTCTCCCGCCGATTATTCTCCCTGACTTCTCTTGCCCTCCGAGTAATTGGCGTTCGCCAATGTCCTTTCGAGGCCACTTACGTAACGCGCGACCCCATTTCTGTCATTCCAGAGATGTGAGGAATGATCACGTGGGTGATGGTTGGGCTGCTTCTGGCTGCGGAAACTTGCGGCAGAAACGTCCTCTCCGGAAACGGAAACGGAAACGGAAAGGAAGAGGCGAAGCGACGGGAGGGCCTGAAGGGCATCAGCGTGGACGAGGAAGACACCTATCGTGGGTATCGGCGTAGGACCGGTGAAAAATGAACAGAAATGTTTGGTCCGGTAGAGATAGATGTAGGAAAAGGAAAGAGGGGGGAGAGAGAGAGAGAGAGAGAGAGAAACATACACAGATCCTGTCGGAAAAAGAACGATAGACGGAGAGATAGGCAGGTAGAAGAGGACAAAAAAGAGTTGAGAACGGAACCATGATTTACTCGACTAACTCGAGTTTATCCCGGCTCGCCGATCCTGCAATCGAACGCCACTAATCTCCGAACTACCGCTTATCCTTCCTACCAACTTCGCACACGTACTGCAACCTTTCCCGTCAATAACGTCGCCATAGTCTTTGTGTACCTACCTACGAAGTGCAGGTTTGTCCGTCGCGCCAGTGAAAGGGAAAGCCTGTTCGATCGCGAGCAGTAAAATTACGCTGTAACTTGGTGTAAATTTACGAATTTAAGTTGAGTTCTGCATAAGATATATCGTTCCTAACAAGTCCTCACAAAGTCTCCCCTTAGAAGAGTCGGCTTGTTTAAACTTAGACCGGCTTGTTAACTTTCGGACGGCTAGACTTTCTAGACGGCTGAACTCGCTTAATCCTTGGATGTATGCTCCCTTTAATTTTCTTTCCCTGAAATAGAATTTCCGTATCTTTCACCGGTGCGACGACAGCTGCAATTAAGAGCTACCACGCTTACTTCCTCAACACTCTCACTCTCCCCTTTCCCTGAAACCCGTCTTCCTGATTGTCCCGCGACGCACTTATTCAGCACCGCCGCTCTCTCTGTTGCAGGTCTAACGTGCTACACTTGCGTCAACGTCAGCGATAACCAGGTATCGACGAGTCCATTAAACGTCCCCTTAAGAGTCCGTAATAGCCCTATCGCGCCGAGTCCAGCCGCAATTTTGTGGAAGCCTGCAGATCGTTCCGCCATCGATTTCGGTTTATTCTAAACTCCCCCTTATTGCGTTTCGCTTCTCCTCTCTCGCAGTAACCGTCTTATCTCCGAGGCCCTGCTTTTATCTCGCTCCTGTCTTTTTTTCTTCACGAAAACGCGCGGCGCGGCGCGGCGCGTTTATCGCGTCGGCCATAAATTCGCGATTTTTCCACGGAAATTGTCGAAATTTCAGGAAAATAAATAACCGACTCTTTGTAAGATACGTATATAATCGCATAATTTCTCCCATTATCGAACGAACGCAACACCGCAATACACGCGGGAGCGCGCGCTCGCTCGGGAAACATAAATGTTTTGCTCTGCATATTCGCGGTTAGGCACCTTGTTGCGTTGACGTCATCTCGCTTTTTGTGTTTCCCCGGACTATCGGGGCACCGGGAGGCGCATGCGGTCGATATTGGCAATATAAGAAACTGATCTTTATACGTGGAATTTGCATCCAGGATGTTCCCATTTCTATGCTTGCAGATGTGCAACGAATGGGCGATAGATACACCGTGTCCGGCGGGAGGCCGTGATTTCTGTCGGTCGCTGCACATTCTGGACAGCCGAGGGAACAGCGTCTTGGCAAGTGAACTTTTTTTCCGTCGCGCGCTCTCGTAACTCCGCCTCTTCGATTTTCATGAATTTCGAATATATCGCTCGTCGGGCGGCCCAAAATAAGAGACACCTATGTTTTTATACGTGCCTTTAGGGCCGGCAACCCCACTACTCCGGAACCATATTTCATTCCGGCGTAGAATCGCTGAGACCGTAAGATACACGTAGAGAGACGTGTGAGAAGAAGTTATACGATATTAAGAACTTCATAAGTGGGTATTTGTTCTCCTCATGCGGGGTAGAGAACTTTCGAATTTACAATCGCTCTCCTCGTAAATTTGTCCTCCGTTTCCATCGTCGTAAAACCTCTTTGCCTCTAGCGTTCTCTCTGATATATTTTGATATCCTCGGCTGATCAGATCGCGGAGAGGAAGAGTAAGAGACAGAACGAAAATAGCAGTTGCGATTGTTGTCTTGTCTAGGTGAATGAAAATCGCATTCTCGATATGCGAGATAACAACGAAAACAATTTTTGGATAAAAAAAAAGGGGGAAAACGAACGAGGGGAAAATAAAGCGAACTCACAATAACAAACGCTCCCTCACGTACAGATTCCATTAACGCCGAGTATACTGTACGCACCATCAGATAAAATCAATTAAAGATTATCGTATTTGGCTAATTGATTTACATTAGGGGTATAATCGATTTTCGGGCTATTAATGAACGAAGTTACGCGAACGGATTCGAGCCTGGACGTCGAGATAGATGGCCCTCTCGGGCTTAAGCGCTCTTCTCGAGTCCAGTCGATGTACCAGAGGATGAACTTTGATGGAACTTTCTACGTTCCGACGTTTGACGACGATAATGCACCATAATTTAATATCGCGCATTACTGGACAGAACGAACCGTTTAATTAATAAGATTTCCATCCACCTAATTTCGCGAGATTCATTGACGAGCACGTCTTCGTCGCGTCGTTCCGGTCGCGAGTACCAAAAATCCCGACGATCACCCTCTTTCCGTCGCTCACTCGTTCGTTCACTCTAGCGCTATCCTCGCTTCCTTTCGTTCCAGGTGAGCAAGAGTTGCGCCAGCAGCGAGGAATGCGGGCCTGCGTCGGTCGGTTGCATTCCCGTGGACACGCAGCAGGTGCGAAATAGCGAATTTTGTCGTGCGCTCGGAGGAGGTTTCTCGACTGATGAGGGAGAAATTAGAGAACGTAGGAGTGACGAGAGAGAGAGAGAGAGAGAGAGAGAGAGAGAGAGAGAGAGAGAGAGGGAGGGAGGGAGAAAGAGAGGGAGAAGAACAGAGAAGGAGCGGGTGAAATAAATTCGGTTATTTAATTCCAGATCTGCATAAGCTGCTGCGACGAGAGCTACTGCAATATCGAGTCGCCGACTAACGCCACTAACGCGATCTACTCGCGCAAACGGCGCGCCAAGTCGAAATCGAAGCGCAAACGGCCCGGCAGAAACGGGGTCGACGCGACGACGCGGCTCTACGGGTCCAGCTTACTCTGGCTTCCCGCCTCGCTCTTCTATGCATATCATTGCTGAGGAAGCAGCAACACTAACCGCGCGCGCGCGAAGCGGACAGCGCGGAAATCGCGTGCGAGAGTCGACGCGATGCGCGACGCGCCACGCCATCGCGGCGCTGAATCGCGCGTAAGAAACGCGCGCACGCGCGCGCGCGCGCACTCGTCGTCTCGATCGTGAATGTTCTCTTCTGTGATTCCTTCGTAGATTCACGCTCGCCTAACTACGCAAGAACACACGCCCGACACCGTCGTCTGAATTCCGACCAAGCTTACCGACGAACTTCCCCGCCGACTTTCCGCGCCCGTCACGCCGTCACGGCTCGGCGACCCCTCACTGTCGTCCAATTGTGTGGAAGAGGAGACACGCTAATCGCTCTATTTTTCGTACTCTCATTTGACATTCTCGCTTAGCCGCGCCGGCTAACTTGAACGGTAACCGCAAGATCTTGACGTGTACACGTAATTTAGCGTACGTCGCGCCGAACATACCGAGAACGCTCGGTGTTTCCAGCATGATGGCGGGAGAGCGAAACGTTCGTTTCGGGGACAGAGGGTGTCCGCGAAGAGGAATCGCCTGGCAGCGGTTCCAGGAGATGCGGAGAACGAGATCCGGGCAAAGAGCGGTCGAAAAACTTGGCGCCGTTCCGCGCTGTCCGAGACGTTATTAATCGGGGACCCTTCGAACTAATCGGGTCCCCCGTGATGGCAAAAGGAATTGTTTTCTCGTCGTAGTATCGGTAGTCGCTATGCCTCGGTAGAAGGAACTTAAAGCACAAAGAGTAAGGTCTCTGAGAGAGAGAGAGAGAGAGAGAGAGAGAGAGAAAGAGAGAGAGAGAGAGAGAGAGAGAGAGAGAGAGAGAGAGAGAGAGAGAGAGAGAGAGACCTGGAGGAGATCGATAGATTCGAATTCGTTTCCATTTCCGAGGGCCCACGACAATCTAGACAACGCACAATAAAAACTACCAATAACGCTAAAATGTAATAAACTTACCGTGACGATCTCGGCGCGCCCTCGGCTCTCGATGTGCACCCCTTTCTTTCCCGAGGCTCGCAAGCTCCATATAATCGCGAGTCTTTACGCGCGATTGCGACCGGGGCAAATTATTTAGAAATTAATTTAGAATGAACAATAATAAGATCGGGTGTGTGTGAGAGTGTGCGCATTAAAATATTAAAAAATTTAATTTACCCGATTCTACCAACAAAATATTTGCGGGACGCGTCAATATTTAACTGATTTAATTTACTGGAAAATTGAACAAATTAAATTGTTTAATTTCACACGTCACCGGCCGTTTGCATAAACTGCACGTGAAACGTTTGTTGTAATTAAAGGCGCAGAATCGATGTAGGGCGTAATTGGTCAAAGTAAACGGTAAAACCCGCTGCGTCGATACTTTCGACGAGAGGTGTTTAGCGCTGCGTTTAATGCGTTGCGTCGATGCTCGCAACTGCTCGTAACCTACGTACCGGAAACGAATTCGAATTATCCGTAATGATTATTCACACATCTACGGACTCGCCTACTACTGACTCTTTATCGCTATTACAATTATTAACGGATACATAAATATATATTATGGTATAGACATTATACATTTGTTCGGCATGATGTAAGTATACTGTTGGTAATGAAATAAAGAAAATTATACTTGTCACATCGTGCGAATGTTTCTCTGCCGCATCTCTCAGATTACGCATTTCGCGACAGACTCTCTCAGTTCCTTATTCCTCATGTTCGCTCGCACACGTGAACGGTTTGTAAACGATTTTATCACGCCGAATAGATTCGATATAAACGGGCGATGAAATTCTTTTGTCCCCGCGACAGGTACGAATAATTCGACGAATAAATAATGCAATAAAGTCGTTAAGTTCACTCACCGAACGTCGCGCCGGCGTTGCAACCATGCGACCAGGCCTATCAGCTGTCCCATCGGCGTCAATTTCTGCCGGAAATGCTGTGGCCTCAAGTCCATCAAAGCAGTCACATGGATGTGGATGCGGCCCGAGCGGAAACCGCGTTTAATTGCAATCGCGCACACCGGTGAACCCTCCCCCCCCTCTCCCTCCCCGTTCGCTCTAGTCACGCATCGTTTTCGATACGTTTGAGGTCGGCAGGCTGTAATAACATTTGGCATGCAATTAATCACGGGATTACATTTCGTGCGATGAAATAAAAACAATCGATTTTCCTATTTTCTCGCGAGTGAGTCTCTCACTTCCTCTCCCTCCGGAAAAGAAGAAGAAAAAAGGAACATTCAATTTGCTTCTATTATACATACATACATTATTCGTGTTGCACGCGTGAATTGCCAATTATGTATAATCTCGTATTTATGGAGGAAGTATTTATATTTAACATTTCACCGATGATCCCAGTCGATATTCCCAGCAAACCTTGACGCGGCCCACCATCGGACGCGGCACCATCGCAACCGAGAAAACACGGTTAATTACGCGCACGTCACAATTAGCGCGCAGTAACGGCGGTTCGTGTTACGCCGGCGTCGCCATTCATATTCGTGATAATAACGGTCGAATCGTTTCATTTCGGATCAACGCGGTTGCATTTAACGCACGCACGCATGCACGCGAGCACACACACACACACACACACACACACACACACACATCTATTCGATAATAATGCGAGAGTTCGCGACTAATTGCCATCGCTTACCTTAATTCGTTGTGACGATCTCTGCCGTTTATCGCCTCATTGTTTTTGATTTCGCGAGTAACGCGAACCGTTCCCACGATCGTTCCGACAAACAGTAGCCATAATGGCGACATTCGAGAATCGCGCATCAACGATGAGCTCGCGATTCCAACCGGGGCCTCATTGACGTTATAATTAACAACCTGGGATTTTCGGTTCGCGCATGAAGCGCCGGATAAAATAGGCGCGAAAACGGAAACGATCCTCGCGGCGACAATTCTGTCGATTCTGTCGTCACCGATTGCCGTAGCCGCCATAACCGCACTTGGCGCTTCGGTGATTCGGGCCGCAACGGACGAGCGATTCGCGATCGTGGATTCGCGGTTACGCGCGGTTAATCAACGGATACTGACGTCGCGCGCTGTCGCGGCGAACGCGACGCGACCCGCGGTGGTGGGAAATTTCTACCGATGACGGAAAAACGCGGCGCAGCCTCCGCGGCAGTGACCGTTTTCGGCGGTGTAATCGCCTGAGAAAATGACGCACACCGTAATGAGGAGTTGAAGCTGTGTGTCGTTCGCGACAACTTCAGCCAGACCAACTGCTACCAACTGTGTACCGTCTCTCTGGCGATTGACGAACGATCGTGTAATGACGTAATGGCGATTCTCGAGCGACACACGATTCTATTCTACACCTAATCCTCGAGAATACTCAGCACGCTGAGTGACGATAGATAAATACGAGATGCAAATTTGAGAAAATACGGTTAATTACGAGCATGGCCGAGCGTTACGCGCCGTAACGATAATACACGGCACGCCAGCGGCACGCTCGTGTACTCGCATACTAACAGCACGATATCGTTTTACGTCGAGTCGACACGACTCGACCCGTAGCGTTTAACGCTACGGTATCTGCTGAAATGCCGCGCGCCAACAGCTAATTAGTATAGAAGCTCACCTTCATTCGCCGCGGCGATCAGCCGTTGATCGACTTTCGCTCGGCCCGCGCTTCCGCGCCCGACTCGTGAATCGTGCCGACGATTGATGCGCACCATAACCGCACATTTTGGCGCTCTCGTGGATCGAATCTCATCGGATCGATCGCGCATCGTGATTACGCGCGCTAATTAAGGGGCTATGACGTCGCGCCAACGACGCCTCGCCGTGATGCCTTGCGATACCGACCTGCACAAGTAATGCATTTTCCCCTGATAAAAATTGCGATAACTATTTCGGGACGGTTTCGTCGCCGAAGAATGAGAAGCTGGCGATGCGGTGCTGCGGTGATTTACGACGCGCAAGCGTAACTCGCGCGCTTGCAACAATTTGCTCCACACGAATTATATATCTTTAAACTCCTGACGAAAATGTAATTAACAAACACGCCACGACGCAAATAGCTACGTCTAATAGTAATACACCTCATAATGCATCTCGTGTACGACGAACGTAGAAATTATTGCCGAATGTGTAATTATAGAAGTTTGCGATATTGCGGTATTATGCGGTAATATTTATTGTGGATGTTAATTAATATCGCGAAACGATATGAGTGGTGTTAGGACGTATAAAAATACATATTTTTTAAACAATTAGGCTAGATCAAGTGCGCTAAATATCTGTTTGATGTGATGTATCTTTGGCAAATATTCGGCACGAAGACTGACAATCAAGTTAATCAGTTCTTTTCATTATTACTTTCTTGATCGTTTCCTTAGTTTTTTCTTTATTAGTCTATCTCTTGCCAAATATTAATAAATCGTCCATGTCCATCTTTTGAGGTTACGTATCGATAAGTTATTGTTTGAAGGCAGAGAATTGTGCAGAGTACGTAAATCAATTTACAGACTTCTCGCAGTATAAGCTGATGTATAAACTAACTGGCTACGGAAATGAACAAAAAAATGATTATTGCAATCGTACCTGAGAAAAATAAATCGTTTAGCATGTCAGAATTTCGCTGTGTAATGCCTTCCCCGTTGCGTTCGTACCAGCGAAAGAAAGACGCGGGGATTTCTCGAACGTTCGTTCGTGTTCGACCGCACAGATGGCGCCACATGGCCGCGGTGCATGCGCAACGATAAAATCTATATTAGAATCACAATAGAGAGGACAATATAACGTATAACGTTTAGTTTATTGTTGGAAATGTGTGTTGTCGTCCACTTTTATGCACAAACAATAGCGCTCCTCGTTGTGACTCGGCTATTACGCACGTGAAACGATATAATGTATAATGCAGTAAACATTAAACGCGCGATAACCAATCATCTTCCATCATGAGTTTTTATTTCTAGATAATCAAAAAATTCACTCATGCGTTGCTGCCTTCATCGCGCCTTGCTGCGCGATTTTGTGCACGCTTGTTCTTTACTTTGTTATACATTCATCATTTTAATAAATATCGAATGATTAAACAATTGCAGGAACATTTTTGCAACTTTTATTTTTCTCGTTATCGACGTTACGTACGTAGCAGCTGTTTGTTAACAATTACTCTTTATTCAATTTCACCAATAAGTTGAGTGTTGTAAAAATTAATGTTTTCATCAGCGATTTAAAATATGTGTTCAAATGTAGAGGACGCTGCTGCTCACTTCCCGTCGTTTGCGCATGTCGTCGACAGCTTTGCTTCATCAACATCAAAGCTAACTTGGAGTCGCTTGCAGTTATACGCTATTGTAATATACTGTGAAAATGGAGGAATTGAGTGAGATTGCAGATCGGGACACTAAGAAGGATGAGAAGGATCATGAGAAGGACGCGCGACACAAGAGGTACGTGACCGTTTTATTACAGGTGATCGGGAATCCAACTTCTATTATACGGTCCATCGCCTTGCACTGTACCTCCTTTTCTTAACCTATATTCATTTGACGGATGCCCGGTGAACGATACGTGGACATAATCGCCACATAATTATAGACGATTATTTCAGACCTTGTATCATGGCAAAATTTGATCGCTGTTCAACGCGAAAAAGGCACCTTCGCATCGATCACACATAGGATCTCGTTCGAAGCGATTTCCGCGACTAGTCCCTGATATTTGCCTAATCATATCGTTTTGATAATCATATCGTTCTGATACGATATATTTTATTGCTGGATACTCAATCGATGTAGTCGAGAATTGCAGTCTTGCACTTTTCAACGATTATTGATTCGTACGCATATAAATAAACAATTCAATGGCTGTGGCAATCGCGGGTTGGTGACAGTTTTGTAATGCTTTTTATTGGATTTATAATGAAATTTGTGGTAAGCACGCAGAGACAAACCGACCATCAACAGATTTACATGGTGACCAGCACTCTCAGATTGTTGCTTTCGAATTTAACAATCCAAGTTGTTTAGATAAATTGTTTTCTTAATAATCTTGATTGATAGCTTTTAAAATCAAACAATTCTGGCAGACCTTTTGTTGTCCTATCACAGTTTCAAGAAGAAACAGGCTCGGAAGAAAAAGAGCCAGACGGCGAATGCAACCAGTGAAAATATTAACAATAACAAAGAAGAGAAAAAAATGCCTAGTGCATGCAATATCTCTATAAAAGATATCCAGATGGCTATGGAGGTATTTAATATGCAACAAAAACCTGCCAAAACTCAGGAGGAAGCCATGCAAAAACCTTACCAATTCTGGAGTACACAACCAGTACCAAAAATGGGTAAATAAGCAAATTACAGATATTGTTTCATTCTTTTGCTAGCTAAATTGCTAATATTTTGTTGATAGTGTCATTCAAGCGATATATTTTAAAAACAAAGATCAAAAACACCGGACAATATCTATTTTTAGTATCTATTTTTAGCTACTTAGCCTTTTTTCTTTCAAACTCTCTCAAACTTAGCTGGAAATTTGACAAGAAGTTAATCAGATATTGCTTCGAAACTCTTACTAGCGATGTAACCATGGGAAGATACGCTACAGCTTTGCTGTCAAAATTTTAAACAGATGTGTTTTAAACAGCTGTTTTCCACTCATATAAAATATAAATTTTAATGTTTCTTCAAGGCAACACTCTTATAATTGTTCTTCAGATGAGAAAATTGTACGCAACGAGGCAATTGAGCCTGATAAAACATCCGTCAGGGAAGAGCCATATTCGTTACCCGCTGACTTTCAATGGGACACCTTGAATCTAGATGACCCTCTGGTCCTAGCTGAATTATATACACTACTCTCAGAAAATTATGTTGAGGATGACGATGCAATGTTTAGATTCGATTACCCTCCATACTTTTTGAAATGGGCGTTGCAACCTCCAGGCTGGTGCAAGGAATGGCATTGCGGCGTGCGAGTGAGCAAAAGCGGACGTCTAGTCGGTTTTATTTCCGCTATTCCAGCCACTCTGCGCGTCTATAATCAGTGAGTTTCACATATGCATGTTCACGACATATTTTACTTTCTTGCAATGTCTATAATATCGGTGATGTTTTACAGTACACAGAAAATGGTGGAAATTAATTTCTTGTGTGTGCACAAGAAACTGAGATCGAAAAGGGTCGCACCCGTGTTAATACGCGAGATCACGAGGAGGGTGAATTTGAAAGGTATCTTTCAGGCTGTATACACTGCCGGTGTTGTTTTACCAAAACCGATCGCAACATGCAGGTACACATATAAATCTCTTCGAATTGATTCTTTCGTGCTAATGTATAAATTAAGCGACGACAATTGTACTTTCTAGGTACTGGCATCGATCCTTAAATCCAAGGAAGTTAATTGACATCAAATTTTCTCATCTCACTCGTAACATGACGATGCAGAGAACTTTAAAGCTGTACAAACTGCCAGACAACACAAAAGTACCGGGATTCAGAAAGTTGGTTTACGCTGACGTGCCGCAAGCGCATAAGATATTGACAGAAGTATAAAAACGGAGCATTTCAATACGTACGATACATATTCGATTATTGCAATATATTCGTCTTGCAGTATCTGGAGAAGTTCGACCTCGCTCCGGTATTCTCGATCGAGGAGTTCCAGCATTGGTTTTTGCCACAAACGGGTATCATTAACAGTTTCGTAGTGGAGAACGAGGGAAAGATTACGGATATGGTGAGTTACTACACGTTGCCGAGCTCCATCATGCATCATCAGACGCACAAAACTCTCAGAGCCGCGTACAGTTTCTACAATGTGTCCACTGTGACGCCGTGGCTCGAGCTGATGATGGACGCTTTAATATCCGCTCGTGATGTAAGTCTATTTCGCATATTAACAGGGCGGAAACTCTTCGAAGGGCACGCGTTAAACGTAATCTCTGCTTGCAGTTGGGTTTCGACGTGTTCAACGCGTTGGATCTCATGGACAACAAGGAGTTCTTGGAGCCGCTTAAGTTCGGCATCGGCGACGGTAATTTACAATATTACCTTTACAACTGGCGTTGCCCCAGTATGACACCCGGCAAAATCGGTCTCGTGCTCCAGTAGATTTGTAGCTCGACGAGTCGTTGCCTAGGTTGTTTCGCGTTTGCGTCTCACGGCAATGAAAGGAAGAAGAGGGAGATAGCGGTTGAACATGTACCAAGGACACCATCACGCAGCGAATAGTGCGAGAAGCAGTAAAAACAGCGGTGTCAGACGAGGACGAGCGCGACCTCGATTTTTCTTATCGGAAAGGGTATACAAATCACGCTTGGTGACGGTAAAAAAAAAAAAATACGAATTCTCTTGCAGGATTGTTCTGTAAAACGAGTCAGATGGTTGGTTAGCTCAGTATCTCGCAAGTAATTCTTGTCTTGGCCATCGGCCCGAGCATCCTGCCGAGAAACACCATTCGAGGTCGAGTCGTTTGTGCGATCGAGACTGCTGCGGAAATGATGCGTCGTGCGGTGCATATACAGATTGTACATGTATATGCGTATCTGCGTGAACTCGAGCAATGTAGATAAGCAACATGCGTTTAATAGCGACTATATGGCGACACGTTGCCCTGGTATGCCCGCGGATTTTCAATAATGTAAGACGCCTCTTAGACGCCAAGTCTTTATCTTTTTTTTTTTTTTTTCCTTTACACCTCCTCGGCTAATTAGACGACGCAGTACGCCGGAGTGTGTGTGAGTGATAGGCAAGTTAAAAATAAAATGAGGTTCATCGAGAACGAGATCGTGTCTTTACCCTCTTTCCGCAACAACGATTGACTTCTTCCTCGTTTCCGATATAGCCTCGTTCCTCCCTACGTCGTGTGTGTGCACGCAAACAAGTAAATCACGTTTATTTATTTATTTATTTGACACTCTACTCTCTAAACACCCTTTGGTATACATAAAATTGAGATGACTAATATAATGAAGATCAATCAAACTTACATATAATGAAAAGTATTAAAATTACATATGTCAATGAGCAGAAGAGTATGTACAAAATTATTGAAAGATGCAGCGTTTGGTGCACATGAGGAAGCAAAATGCGGCGAAGATTGTTCCTGAAAGCATTCAATGAGTCATCGAAAAAGTCAATGCGTGTCGAATACCTGTTGGCTATCATTAACATTCTATTTGCGCAGCTGAATTTACCATAATTCGTGCGATGCCTTTCAATGTGGAACACGTCCCACGATCGAATCGGTCTAGCTGGTATATAAAGTTTACATGCGACGAGTTTACATGGGCAGAGCAATTAATATGATTGTGCAGAACCTTAAATAAAAATGTTAGATCAAGTATCGCACGTCTAGATTCTAGTGACAATAAATTATGACGCAAAAGCTCAGGCACATAATTGTGATCCGCGAAATGCATAGGATCATTCGCACAGGACCATTCGCAAAGGACCTGGCAAGGCGGAAAAACCGGTGCTGAATCCTTTCAATTAGAAGAATTAGTGACTGCACCGTGAGGTGATCACAATACCGATCCATATTCAAGGTGCGGGCGAACTAGCGTGATATAAAGAGCTGTAATGGTTGTCATGTTTTTAAAATACTTGGAAGTCCTGTTGATAAAACCGAGTGTTCTGAAGGCATTGCCAACAGCAGATTTAATGTGTTGGTCAAACGATTAGTCGGAAGTAAAAATTATGCCCAAGTCACGAACACGATCAACACTAGTCAGCTCGCCGTCTAAATTATAACTAGAAGAATGCCTATTGGTTCCGCGATCGAATAACGAATAACGTGGCATTTAGAAATAGTAAGATATAGTTTATTGACTCTGCACCAATCCATAAGCCTCAGCAAGTCCCGCCATATTCGTTTATCACGAATACGGTGTGCCTCGTGCCATTTGTTTCACGCAATCTCTATAATGGTTGTAAAATCTACAGTTATACAACCAGGGATTCGTTTTTAGTTGCGATTAGATATGCAGCGAGAAACGCGCGGAAACTAGTCTCTAACCAAAGGATAACACCTGGCCAATGGTAATACCGAATATATTCGCGCGACCTCGTTTAAAAAAAAAAATGACTAGCTTCGATAAAAGAAAAGAGAAAGAAATGAAGTAAACGGTGATTTGGTGTGCAGTTTGTGCGGACACCTTCGGAAAGGAATCTCGATCGGAATGCGCAGTCGATGAAAAAATGAACTATCGACTGTTAATACATCGCGAGAAATATCCCTCGCGGGTTGTTCGCGCGTGGAATAATCACGTCGTGCGAATATAAAGTTTTCTATTTATGTGGCAGCGTAATAAAAGAAAATTGATTTCCTTGTTACATATGTGTGCGTGCGTGTTTGTGTTTCCAGACGAGACGTAACCACGTCTACTCTTTTTTTTACGCGATCCTCACAAGCACGCGTTGCAACTCGACGAAGTACGGCTGACGTGCAGGGTCTCCCCCGGTGATAAGAGAGAATAACGCAATATATGCGTAGCTGCGAACCAGTTGAAAATTTACATTTCTCCTTTAGATAGTAAAGCAACGTGTCCGAGTGATCACCTTCGGCCAGTTTGTGGAGACCCGTTGTGTACACGCGGACGATCGATCAAAACGACCGGATGTGAGTAACAGGGTAGGGACAACGTAGCGCGTTCCGCCTTGAGCGAACGTGCAAACGTGGTGGATCCGGCGATATATCGTTAACAATGGCCGATTGATGTGCGTTTAATCATCGATTATTTACGGCCCGTTAAATCGGGCTCTTTCCCGGCGGCGTGAATTTCCATCTAGCGTTTACCCGAATTCTCGGTGAAAACGACACACAAATGTCTCGTACCTCCTGTCGTTTGACTGATGCAACCGGGATAAGTAAATAGTGGTCGGTTAAAGCGAGTCAGGGATACGACAGATGGGGGTCTGCCGCGAACGTGACGTGTTTTTTTTATGAAGAAGTCAGCGGCGACAGGCGCGAGAAATGATTGGTTTGGCAAAATCCTTGTATCCTTTGACGGACACCTCTCACATTGCGTGGCAACAAGTAATGTATTGCAATACATAATCAATGACCACGCGTTTAATAGCGCCTGACAATTTCGTCGCACAGATACAGCACGGTTGTATCCCTGATTTGCATGTGCAACCACGCCATAAGACCATGCAGTTTTTTGCAATTTCCGAGCAAAACATTCACCACTGCGAATATAGCCGCACCGCGGCGTAAAGATATTTTAAGGATATTATGAATGACCGGAGGGACACCGCACTTCTTTACATTGCATTTTTTGTGATGCCGCAATTTCAGTGAAAATATGCCGATATGAAGCCGATAGACGCGATTTTATGACGTAACTGACGAAACGTTTTCGGTAAATCTTACAGCGTATCGTATTGTTTCGTCGCAATTTTCATACGCGAGTGATTCACTTCTCGACATTCGTACAATGAAAGGTCTCCCCGGAGTTCAAAGAAATTCCAGCAAATTACAAATAGCTGATGCCTGTTAACTGTACTCGTTATAACTCTTGATCGCTTTACCAGGTCTGTAAATATGAAACCGGAATTTGCACATAGATGGCCCTAGCTGTCAATGTATTGGGTGAGTGCAAAAGTTCGTGCGGAGTTTGTGAGTAAAAGTCACACAGTGATTAGGCAAACAAAAATCTTTATTCAATCAATGATATATTCTCCATCGTTTTCTATAATCTTTTCCCAACGTTCTGGCAGCATACGGATGCCTCGATCATAAAAACTGCGCGGTTTAGATTCGAAGAACGAAGAGACGCCGTTTTTTAAGGCCTCCAAAGAGTCAAAGTTTTTTCCATTTAAATAATTTTGCAATCACCGGAACAAATGATAGTCAGATGGTGCGATATCAGGAGAATACGGTGGATGCGTTAAGACATCCCATTTCAGGCTCTTCAGTTTGCGCAGCGTCTTTTTCGAAACGTGTGGTCTGGCGTTGTCGTGACGAAAGACGACTCCCTTGCGATTTGACAAAATCGGACGTTTCTCTTTTATTTCTCGATTCAATAGTTACCGTCAAACCGCGTCATTGGCGCCATTTCCATTTGTTGACATCTGACAAAGATTTTCAACTCACAACAATACAAGTGAAAAACGACCAGAATATCAAAAAAGGCAATACAAAGTGATTTTGCTTCATGTTAATGCACCATCACACACAGCAAAACTGGTGAAGGAAACGATTGAGGCGTTTAGTTGGGAAATACTTTCGCATGCGGCTTACTCACCAGATTTGGCTCCGTCCGATTACTACTTATTTGCATCGATAGGACACGCATTTGCTGAGCAGCGCTTCACTTCTTACGAAAACGCACAAAAATGGCTCGATGACTGGTTTGCCTCAAAAGAGCAACAGTTCTTTTGCCGTGGCATCCACAAATTGTCAGACAGGTGGGAAAAATGTATAGCTAGCGATGGGCAATACTTGGAATAAAATATTTTTTATCATTTTCATTAGAGATGTGCGAACTGTTCGAATTCGAATCGAATCGTATCGTATCGTAATGTAATTCGATTCGATTCGAATCTGAATCCCTATGATTCGAATCCGAATCGAATTACATTACATTCCGAATTCGAAAATTTCGAATCGAAGATTCAATTACGAATCAAATATATTAGCGTGCATTATATTTGCATGCATCGAGTACAAAACGAGACATCTGGGCCTGTATGTTTGAACCCTTAACTTGTAATTAATAACTTAACTTATAATTAATAACTAATCAATACCCCCTTTCATATTAAAACCTTCCATCATTATGTGCATGTTTAATAGTCATGTTAAATTTTTTAATGACTCGATTCGATTCGAATTCGAATGAAATTTCATAGATTCGATTCGATTCGAATTCGAATTAAAAAAATGAGATCCGATTCGATTCGATTCGACACAAAAATTCTTGATTCGCACATCTCCAATTTTCATACAATAAACGTGTATTTTCTATAAAAAAATTCCGGTTTCATATTTACATACCTGATAAAGTGACGTATTGCTTTTGCTCATTGAGAGCAAGGAAGGGTCAGAGCGAGTCAGTTTCCTTCGCGAGGGAGTGCGTCCAGTTTCATCGATCATCAGTTTGCTGGAAACGTCAATACAAACGCCCATTCAGAGCGCCAGGGTGACTGACGAGCGCTCACACGCCCTTTGTACGGTAACAAGTGCGGTAATAAAAACCGCAGTAATAAAAAAAGGGCAAAGAGGAAAGAACGTCACGCGAGAAATACGCAAAAAGGCAGAAACGTCGAATCATCAGACATTACCTAGAGCTAGATAACATCGCAAGGTGTTGACGAGCAGCACGTATACGTAGGTGGGGAAAATGCGAGACGTACGATATGGAATAAATACCGGGCTGAAATCGAGCGGAATCCAGTCGCACTCTTAGTGCACTAACGACGTCGACTACGTCTCTGGCCACCGGAGGAAGATTTCCGCTCGCACGAACTTCCACCGAGACGAGCGTCGTTTCGCATCACCTTACCAATCGACCAATTAGTGGCGCCTTGACACCGCGGTCTCTCGGGACGCACGATCACCCGCAGTTTGTAATTCACCAGCGAGAAGTTCATCAGCGCCGAGTCTTCGCAGCAAAGACATTGCCGGAAACTTGATCGTCGTGTTCGAGTCGGTGCACGATGTTACCAGTTCGAAACTGTCTGCTCTTTGTCTTCGCGATCATCGCGGTCGCCACTTTCCTCGGGTATTGCTGCAAGATTATTACTATAGGTTTTAACCCCGTGAGACAGAATTGCGACATTTTTTCACTGGAGGAAGTTCGATCAGTTATCTATCAGTAATTCGTCCTTCACGTCCCTCACCTGTTAATTGCATAATTTAACGTAGTTAAAAAAAAATGTTGACTTTATGTTGGTTTTTAAGAAATTCGTCGACCTTTGTCGATATTTGTCAGATATGAATCTTTTTGTTTATTTCTCGACATATCCTATCATTTTGTTTAAACAACCCTGAAATTTAATTGCGTGTTTATGACGAGATACTTCAGTTGTATAACAAGATAATAAATATTTCATCAACATATTTTTTAACGTTGATGTTTTTATGTTTAAAACCGCGAATGTTATGAAAACATTTTACCATGCATAAGCATTGTTATACCAAAATATTGTTATACCAAAATATTGTTTATTACTTTTAGGCAGACTGCCGCACCTTAAAAATACAAAATCTCTCGTATTGAAATAATTGGCGTGATTTTCATTATTAGCATCATTATTAGCAAATATTTTGTTACAACAACGGAATGGGATCATTCCGAAAAATAAAAATAATTCTCTTGGACGATATTAACTGTTGAAGTCGATTATTCGATCATACGAAGGTTACTCACAACCTCGGAAGCCCTGCGTAACTGCATAAACATTCGAGTTCGGTGGTCCAAAAATATCTTATCTAATTCCGGTTGTCCTTGTCCACGCTCGTATGTTACCTCGTGTTTCTCCTCAGCTCGACCCGTGCAACAACCCTCAGGGAAGGCAATCCACATAAGTTCGACGTTTACTGGAACGTGCCTACTTTCATGTGCCACAAATACGGCATGAAATTCGAGAATCTCAATGATTATGGAATTCAACAGAATGCCATGGACAAGTTCCGCGGCGACAAGATCGTGATTCTTTATGATCCTGGGATGTTCCCGGCGTTGCTGGTCAGTAAGAACGGTAAATCGAACATATTATTATTACATTTATTATATTTTGTCGCGAAGAAAAGCGGCTCTACTAGGATTTTTCCTTTCCCTAAAAAAAAAATGCTCTCGACGTTTCTCGGCAGGCACGGTGACGAAGAGGAACGGCGGCGTGCCACAGGAAGGCGACCTGAAGGAACACCTCGAGAAGTTTAGAGAGGACTTAGTCACGCAGATTCCTCACGAGTCCTTCAGCGGGGTCGCTGTGATAGACTTCGAGAGCTGGCGGCCTATCTTCCGACAGAATTGGGCCTCTCTTGAACCCTACAAGACCTTGTCCATAAAGTTGGAACGTGAAAGACACCCCTTTTGGAGCGACGCTGCTGTAAAGAAGGAGGCCAAGCGTCGCTTCGAGAAGTTCGGCAGGATGTTCATGGAGGAAAGCCTGAAGATGGCGAAAAAGCTGCGGCCTTGGGCCATGTGGGGTTACTATGGGTATCCGCACTGCTTCAATAAGAGCCCCGGCCAACAGTCTATGCATTGCGATCGCTCGACCATGACAGAGAATGACGAGTGAGTAATCACCGACGAATCGATAATCCGATATCCGATGGCGTGTGCATAATTTAGTACGCGCAGTACGCGTAGTAGTGTGCGCGTCATTACGCTTTATACGCGACACACCGATCCAGAGGTAATCACGCGATCTTCATGTTCGCGGACTAGCGTCGGGGGAGGTGGTGCTTCGCACGTCGCGCCCGCCTAAGATTTATGAACATGTTGTTTGACTCGCGCGCGCGCGCGCGGGCGCATGGCCGGACTTGCGACAATGACGACGTGTTAACCCGGACAGATTGCCGAGCGCGTACGCAGAGATTACGACGGGTTACGTCGAAATAGGTCAACGTCGAGGATAGTCGCCGGCTCGTTGGGGGAAAGCGTGACGCGACTTGCAGTTTCAGTTGCGTTATCTAATCGTGAACGGCGATAAAGGAGAGACGTGTGTGTGTGTGTGTGTGTCGTAGTCGTATGTCGTAGAGAGAAAAAGAGAGGACAACTCTCGAAGATAATCACAGGCAATAATTCCTGTAGAATGTCTTGGCTGTTCATGCTCGAGGACGTGCACGCACCTTCCGTGTACTTGAGGCTGGAGATCAAGGAGGGCGATCGGCCGGGCTTCGTGAAGGGCAGAGTGTCGGAGGCGCAGCGGCTGGCGGTGAAGAGCCTGAGAAAACAACAGATCTTGCCTTATTACTGG